CTTCATGATCTGAGCTCACTATAGTTTGATGTGCTATGAAAGTTGCCATTCTTTAACTTAAAAAACTTAATCCTAAATAAATAAATTACAACCACCATGTGGAAACTAATTGCCTCGTCTTTCTTTCTGAGTTTTTGGTTGTAAGTCCTTGTATTTTATCTATATTTTGTAGAGTGTAGCCCTCAGCAGTGGTCTTATTTAGAGGAATCTATCAGCTGTAAAGTATAATTAAAAAATAGCTTTTTTGAAGTGTAGTTAATGCAGAATTTGATCTGTTAGCACACATGATGTCTGCTAAGGTCATCCTAACTAGACCAGTACATTTATGTTCAAGGGCAGTGGTTCCCAAAGTTGGGCTTGGGATCCACATCATTTAGGGCTATAAMAAGATTTTCTGAAATAATTATATAACTATCAACATTTTTCTGCCTTAGTTGTTTCAAAGGAGTGAGGTTAATGCACCTTGAATGGATAAAAGTACAATAATGACTATTGTTACTATGTCCTTAATTGACCAGATGAGGGAACRGGTATGGGATCTTTAAGTTCAGTTTCAATTTAATGAAATTCATTTTCAAACAAATGCAATCAATTCAAATTTTGCACATTCAGAATCTGAGTAATTCAAATTCAGTTTATCCTGGCACAAGATTTATCCCATAAACAGGTCTCTGCTGTTGTTATTTTGTATGTCAAAAACAGAAAAGTTTGGAAACCACTGCTCCTAGGTACCAAGTGTACTGTTATCCATGAACATATTGATCACACACAAAAAAAATCTGTATTTTTTTCTCTTCTTACAGATTTTCTCTTCCTTTCTGGAAGTTGATGTTGTGCACTAAATCGTTAAGTAGATCACATGGGGAACAGATGGTCAAAAAATAAATGAATAAAATAAAACAATCTACTGGATTTTTTTCTTTGAAGTCCACTTTCCAGCCTCCGAGAACAGGAGGCAAGTCTCTATCAAAGTCGTCAACTTTATGTGGCCTTGTGTGTGACCAGGAACCATATTCATATCTTTCACAGGTCCGTCATCGAGCTGACCACCCTTTTCATGGTCCTCATCAGACAACAGAACTGTCATCCTGACTGACACTTCATCATCTGTAGTCCCTACTGTTCTCCGGCAGTCACTGGAGTGGAGTCTAAAGGAATTTCTGTAATTAAGGGCTTCCTTTTAAAGCTGCAGTCTGTAACTTTTTAAAAAATATATTTTTGACATATTTGTTAAAACTGTCACTATGTCCTGACAGATTGATATTAGACAGATAATCTCTGGGGGAAA